AAGCTAATAAAGATGATAACGTTAATGATGTTGATGCTGCTGCTGCTGATGATGATAGTAATGTTAATAATAATAATAATAATAATAATAATAATAATAATAATAATGATAACAATAATAATAAATTTTCCTAGATTTTACAAATATTTGTACAGAAAATAAATAAAAATACCCCACGGAAGAGGAACGAGAAATTGATTTTTTTTCACTTACATTGTGCAAATAACTAAACTAAAACATAACTACTGCTTGCAAATATTTCAATCAATATTATATCCAAACAGGAAATATATGCATTTGTACATTCGAAACGAAATATTTTCACTCTTATATTCTTTTAAATACATTTTATATTCCGTATTAAAAAGGTACATGTCGCATCTGTTGTGTTCTTCTCTTAACATCTGTTAATTCAATGCTAAAATACATCATCAAAACTGAAGAAACAGTGCTAGGAAACAGTATTCTTTTAATCATTACCAATATATCATCAATGGTCAGTATTTCATATCAATAATAATCAGCATTTCTACCATTATCGATAAGCCATCTACAACATCATTATTATCTCCACCATCATCATTATCATAGCTGTTATCGTTATCAAAGGATCTCCCTCCCTTTCTATACACCTCTTCTTTTTACTTCAGTTAAGTGGAGTCCTTGAAACCTCTGGAACTAGCGTGTCTCCATTTACCTTCTGCAATAAACACAAATAAGCTAGTTTTTAGTCCATGTAATAAAAGCTGTTTTGCTTCAGCCAATATCAGCATTATTACCTGTATTTTATCTCCAACAAGTACACAATTACAACCTTGTGGGAATTATTACACAATAAATACACATGATCCATAAGCAAAATCCACTCATGCCACAGAGACAGCAAGGGCAAAGGAGGCAAAGCGGGAAAAGCTGGAACAAGAGAGAGTCTAAGCTCATTTCAAAACGGACTGGCATTTTTCGTCAAGCTTTTCGGCAAAAAATCCTGCTTTGCACTTAGTACACATACAACCCTGAGGTGGTCTTTGCTATCACACACACAAACTCACGGACGTAAACGCACAAGCGCACACTCACCCACACACATACACAATGTATACAGACACACACACACATAGCATATATATTATATATATATATATATATATATATATATATATATATATATATATATATAATATATATATATATATGTATTACATATACATATATATAAATATGTATATACATATACATATATATAAATATGTATATATATACATATATATATATATATATATATATATATATATACATATATATATATATATATATATATATATATATATATAGCAATCGTGTGCGTGCATATACTGTATATACGTAAACATACAGTTCACTGGCAAGGGGAAAACAGAGGAAAGCAATAATGAAGAGTAAATCCCATGCATGATCATTTTCGTATTATTGGAAACCGTGGTTTCCGCCTGCACTGTTTTCTAAACTCATGACGATTAATGAAACGAACAGTCAACCTTGAGATTCCCCCTCGACACAATTTCAGTAACACCGGAAATAAATACACATAGATATGCAAGTTTTTTCTCTCTCACAAAGACACTTACTTATTCTGCGCTCGAAGGTCCGATATATATTCGAAATTCGGGGTAAGGGATCCTCCACTTGTGATTACTGCCTGTAAGTGTGGGTATTTATAAGATAATGGGACCTTTCCATATCAGTTTCTAAACACTTTTGTTGGTTGGATTTTGCATTGGAAGAGCAGTAAACAGCTATTTTTTGGCCAAAACTACATCGTCAGTATCTTAAAAATAATAATTATCGAAAAGAAAAAACTGGAGGAGAAAAGGAAGATAAAACAATATATATTTCAAGAATAAATAAAACATTCAATATTTCTTTCGTCTTATAACAATAAAACCAAACAATTAAACACAAACTCCACGTACCTGATGAACTTCATGACTGAAGTTATGTTCCTCAAACGGCTTCGAAACTTCAGACTGCAAGATACTGTACATGTAAGGCAGGAGCAGAGAGCCGAAGAAGTCCGTCGCCTCACGTGGGAGCTGCGTCGGCATGTTGTCTATGCTGCAGACGAGAACGCCGGGGCCTTTGAAGCTGGAAAGGGGAAGGCGGGTCAAAAAAGTGTGGAATGGGGGGGGGGGCTAGAAAACGATAGTTTGCAGTAGATGTGGTTGTATGGCCGTTTGGATTCTGTTTTACGAATTTAAAAAAATGGAGATGGTATTCAGAAACTGAGCCAGCGAAGAGAGATCTGCAGGTTAAACTAAATTTCAAAAAGAAAGAAGGAAAAAAAAATGATCCACACACATAATATATATATATATATATATATATATATATATATATATATATATAATATATATATATATATTATTAACGAAGCATGAAAGCAAAAGCATCTGCATTTCTTTTCATGAACCATGAAGTGACCTTATGTACAACCAGCAGCTGTAAACGTAAACACCCATACTCTCACATGCCAACTCCCCAAATGCTAACACACCCCAGTAATCACCTGTTCGTGTCCTTATTCTGGTTAGCATCGTACAGGCAGAAGGGTGTGTCGATGGTCGTGCACTCGGACATAAACTCAATGGAGCCGCCGGGATCAGCTGAGATGTCGCAGATGGCCAACATTCGGTGAGGTAAGGCGGGGGAACCGATCTAATGGGGCAAAATAGGACCAAAATAAATCATTAAAAATGTCATCATTAAGTGGGATTGCAGTAGACGGAGAGTTGAAAATATTCTTACGAGGTTTTGCGAATGCTAGTTTTGTGCTGGAGAATAATTTGCTTAATGGAACAGAATCTTTCCCTTATCAATCTATACCACTGTAGTTTATAATTACATCGTGACACCTTTCTCACAAATTGATTCCAAGCAGACCTACATAGTCACTTTTATCAAATACCACAAAGTTTGTTCATAATCGCCACCCATTCCGGGCAAAAGAATCGAACGTATCGAACTATTACCTGGCACGAGTAAATTTTATGGGAATTTAAATATACAATAGAATATGTGTGTGTGTGTGTGTGTGTGTGTGTGTGTGTGTGTGTGTGTGTGTGTGTGTGTGTGTGTGTGTGTGTGTGTGTGTGTGTGTGTGTGTGTGTGTGTTGTGTGTGTGTGTGTGAAGGTCAGATTTAGGCTTAAAGAGAACTAGCTTCAGCTCAGGGCCACATATTCGGAAGGGGCGTCCCATTTTTTCGTCGCAGTTGTATCATAAACATAAGAACTCAGTGACGCAGTTGAATGTAATACACATCAGTGAGCAAACTGAGTAAGGACGAATCTCAAATCCATTCCCAGTTTCAGCAGAAATTGAAGGTTTGTCTTCCTGAGTTTTGTTTATTTTATTACTTATACATTTTTTTTTCCCTTTTTTTTTACGCTGATCAGGGATTTCCCTAAACACTAATAGGTATATAGGAGTGACTGAGGTTAGTGTGTGCGTATGTATAATAGTATATATTTAATAAAGAGTACATATTTTTCTTTTAGTTGCAATCGGGTTTTACCTCTATTTTGACTCTATCCCGTATCTCATGAAAATTAATTTATGAAATTTCTCTACGACAAATCAACTTCTTCTTCTTTTAAAAATTCAAGAACCCAACACTTGAACATCAGTTTCCCTGTGGAGATAGGATTTTTTTAAATACATCTACAATAAGTATTTGTACAAAGTCTGTACAATTGGATTGTCTATCTACAAATGCAGGCTTGGTTTTATACATACTACATTTATTACACTACAATTACTTCCCTACGGTTGCTTTGAAGAGCATTTTTAAAAAGATAAACCATTAAACAAAACCAGGAGAGTTGGAAATGAGAACAAGTGAACACCTTGTATTGTAGATTTTACGGTCAGAGGTGCAGGCTGTCATATTAGCAGATGGAGGAACCTTTCACACCGAATATTAACCTACAGTCGTCTCGAAGGCGGTGCATTCTCTTAGCATGCCCGATATTACCACCTACTACCTGATTATTCTTTGTGCATGAATAAAGATTGCGTAACTGCACACCACTACTGTGAATATCGGTGCATATGAATATAATTAACGAATTGATAATACATAGACCAGGATAGTGCATCATCTTACAGACAAGGAAAACGTGACAGCTCACTCCTAACTTTGGCGTACTCTGATAGAGAGAGAAAAAGCAACAATACAGCGGTGTAAAACAATGAAAGAATTATATGAATTTGAAAGATACGAAACACGTCTTAAATGTTAGTTAATATGAATAAGGAAGCGACAGCTAATCGAAGTACCCCACAGCCCGGGTGAGTCGCCATTTTTTTCTTGTAATTAATCGCATAACAGTTACCACGTCATATATATAAGAATGAATGCGTTAAGAATCAGATTTCTGAAATGAATTATCAGGTAAAAAAGTTGCTTTCCGTTTCCTTGGCCAAAATAATAGAAATATATTAAACCAGGAAATGTGCTCTCTTACAAAGACAACGTGTGGTGTACATAGCTATACAATAATCAAACATGCAACAATATACCAACACAAAAAGCCTGTGTAAAAGTGACAGTTTGCATCAACACCAACCCCTTTATTAGCACGAGGGATGTAAGAAGTTAAATGATAAAGGCTGGGTAATTTTAACAACGTTTGTAGGGGGAGGTGGGAAAGACGTTTAACAAAGGTCGTATTTAGAAGTGGGGTGGTTGATGCAATGATTTCACGTATGGCATTTTTTGCAATTTCTGATGCAAGTATTTCACTTAATTTATCATTTTTATAATGCCAGATGCAACATTTTCAAATATTGCTGTTATCCTTTGAACATCAGATCTTTAGTTAGATTTTTGAAAATCAGTATCTGCTTCTGAATACACCTTGTTTCTGAGAAAATCATTGTGCAAGTTTGGTGTGCAGAGGGGATTCAGCCCTGGAAAACTATCCAAACACAGATGTCACAAAACCATACTGTCCCATGGCCTTGGTTGCATACTTTAGCTGGTCGATAATACGTTCAGATTTCTAAAAACTAAAGTGAATGTATTTTTTTAAAGAAATATTATTAAGGATTTCCATACCGTTGTTGAATGGCATCTGTAGGTATGTAAACGATTTGATTTACAATTGATAACTGATACACAATTTCTTCAGTTCTTCACAGGCGCAACTATATATGAATTTTAACAAACAAATATTTATGAGAGTAACGGCGAGAAGATTTGAATTTTTACGTAATATCTTTTACAAATTATGCACATAAGTATTAACTTTGGTAAGCAGCATGTTTTCATCATTTAAAAAATCAGATTGGACACAACTTCAAAGTTTCCTACACAAAAATATTCTACAGCAAGTATTTGATACAGTAGGCCTACACACAACATGAATTGCAGTATCACGTCTACAAACATTCTAACGAAAATTCCTGCATATTCATAAGGGCCAACTGACTGTATGCTTCCATGAGGTCAGAGACACATCTATCATAGCCTACCCTATTCTTGCCACGTGCAGTGTAGTGGGTTTGCACTTTACGTTCGTCCATACTTATCCCATGCTTTGTCTCCCTCGGCAGCTGCTTCTGTTCTTGATGATGTGGAAGAAACATCCTTTTAACTCTAATCCCCATCACAACAGTCATCTTTTGTTTACAGAACTCTCGTTTCTGGAGAGACAAGGGCTGTGCATATCTAGTTATGATTATTATTTAGTAAAATATATCCATATCGCATTACTGACGACTTTATCGTGATCTATGTCATCATCGCAGAGGCTGGACTATACACTATACATAGAGGAATTTGTATTAGTGGGTATTTTACTGCCAGAGTTAAAGCCTAGATTAAAAGAAGTGACAGACGAAAAGAGAACACATCGTAAGTCAGCTACCCAGTGTAGCACTGCAAAGATCTATGTACCCCAGCAAAGTTTGAGTTAGAGGAAGCGGAAATCATTGCTACTCTAGGTAACTGAAATTTCATGAAAGATACCAATTGCTTCAGATGCATGTACCAACCATACTCAAGACCTTGTAATACAAAAAAAACTTGAGAATTCTGTTAGAATAATAATGATAATATAATTGAAATTAAAATAACATTTCAGAGATAAGGCGACAACTTGGAATCTTTTTACCTTTCAAACAAACCTGTTACACATGTTGGGTTTCTACCATCGTATTAAAGAAAAAACATTGTGGTTTCGCAATTCAAGAATGCATACGTTTAATATAAAGGTCTGTCTTACCGATGTTGGAAGCCATGGCGTGTAGACTGGTTGTAGAAGGTACTTAGCATCTGGAATTGTTAATAACTTAGGGGAGTTCACAGCCCAGTATATGCCATTCACGATCACAGACGCATAAGGAGCAATCTGTGGGTAAAGAGTTAGTTAGTGGACAGTTTATTGTTAATAAGATACACCTAACACATATAATGGATAAGCAAATATATACATGTTCAAACTGAATAAGCACATTTAGAAACAAGTGATAAATATACAACCGAATGAAATGACAAAGGCTAACAAGCAGAAAACAAGCGAAGAGACAAGGACAATATTTTTTTCTTACTTTGTGCGCAAAAACGGAAATGTATCTCTCTGGGTGTTCCTCGTACTCGACCGCATCGTATTTGCCTCCGTCCTTTCTCACCAGATGGTCTTGGCGACTGACTTCACACGCGTACATCTTATTCAGCGCTTTTGGAAGACATTCAGGCTCTTTTATATATGGAATGTATTACGGTTTATATTCATGTCTTTTGGAGTATTCTTATGTGATATCAAAGGAGTCAGTGGAAGACGTTCTTGAAATCAAGGGCAACAATATCAGATATCTAATAGGAAAGTGAACTCATATATTTAACTAACATTTTAAAATAGGACACTGAAATACTGTATATTCTCATGAATACAATAATAAATTGATGGCATTAACGTTTACGCATGCATCTTAAACTGCCAATAACACCACTAAGAAATCCACGGTATTAATTTCTACGTAAACATTTTATCAAATCAAGGCAGCCTCCTCTTACATCCATGTTCGGAGACCTTCTTGAGGGCCTGAGGGCTGACGTATTCATGAGGAAGGTCCTGGAATATTTCCTGTGCTCCTTGCGACACGTTTCCGGTTCCTGTGAACACGAAAGTCAGTGGACCAATGGATTTTGGCATCATTCCCAGGGATATTTCGTAGCCTGTGTCACGAATGGCCTGTCTTGCCATTTCGGTGTTGCGGTAGTTGTGTGCAGGTCCAATATGCTGAAAAGAAAATTATACGTAAAAGAGTGGAATGTGTTGGTGTTTACGTTTCACGCCCTGATCCGTTTTCTGTGAAATACCCCAACAGTTGTTGATTTTATCTTGGGCGTGGGGGGGGGGTTCTTTATGAGATAAACTATTTTTTTATTTCATTCACTTTATCTGTACTCCAGGGCAACCAACCTACCATGAAAGGCGTGTGGTGGCCCAGGGCAAGGAGTC